CGTGAAAATTAGCTTTTTTACCGCGAAAACGGTTAAACTTAGAAATTTGAATTTTGGTACACGTTAACAACTAGTTGAATGGTATTTTTTGATAGTCTTTTTTTCTGGTTTATGTCTTTGAATGGAAGAAATTATCACCCCTTGGTTTTATTTCTCTCACAACTTTTTTCTACGTTAGCCACTTCCAATAAGAAAAATAGCTTTTAATACTACATTTCATTTTGAACCTTTTTTGAAACTTTTTTACTCTTCCCATTTTTACAGATAATTAGTATAACAGTTAACCAAAAACGACCGTCATTTTTGAAGCAATTTTTGCAAAAATTCTTTTTTTATCAATAGAAAAAACTAAGCAAATATGAACTAAATATTTAATAAAAAAATGAAAGTTAATTTTTTCGGCCATTTTGACATTTGAATATTTTCTAAGGCTCAAATCGAAAAAATTGGAAGTATCCCCCCTAAAATTACTTTTTAAATACCTCCTTAAAATATTTGCACACCATTATGAAACAACCTGTATAATATAAACTAGTCTTGCAAAGTGATGCATGAAAATGGTAATTTATATTAGTAACATCATACTCGTGGTCTTTTCCAAGAAGAAATTTAATTTGATTAAAAATTGATTATTTCAGAAGGAAAATAACATGTTACTATTAAAAGAAGTAGTGGACTCAATGATTTCATTTTATTATAGATGAATAAATTTTTTTGAATTTATTTGATTTTTAAAGTCAGGTATAATAAAATTAAGTACTACTTAAATCGTTCTTATTGTAACATTAAAGCTTCTTTATATTTTAAAGCGGTTCTGAATTTCTTTACGAAATTGATACTTAGACCTGATGTAGATGATGAATAATAAATGATTGAAATAATTGAAAATGTGCCAAGAACTGTTAAATTTTCAAATTATATACAAAATTTGGAAATGATTAAACCTCTATAGAAATTTGTACGCTCTAATTTTGAAGAGTATAAAATAGAGTGTGACTGAAACTTAGCCACAAGAATTGCTAATACATAGTTCGTCAAATACTGGCACTTAAGTGATTGAAGACTTAAAATTTTCACCAAAAATCAATTTTGAATATTAGACACTAATTAATTAATCTAATCCTTCCTAGTTTCTTAATTCAAATTTAATTGATACTTTCAGAAAACGATTATTCGTTTAAAAACAGTGAAAAGTAAAATCTTTTAAATTTAATTTATTTCAGAATAAAGGGCCGCAGCTACCGTAATACTGCGCTCGTGTTGCGTCCGACAACCGCATGTTAATGGCCCTTTGAGCCCTACACTGGACTGCCCTGCCTTATATGAAAACACGCACGTCATAACAATAATATTATCGGACGGAAAGGTTGCCATCAGTGTATCTACCAAATGTGCACGAATCAATTTTATTAATAATACATTACATTCGTGTTTTTCAAATAAATAAATTTGTTCCAAATTGATATATCGCTTTGTTTTATGTGGGTGTGTGTATATTACTCATTTGTATATTTTTGAAAGAAAATGAATAAATAAGAGAAAATTATCTCATTAAAAGTCATTTTCATTTCAAAATCTGTTGGCTTCAAAATGGGGTTTTCACAAAGTAGCGAACTGAGTAATATTTTTAGCAATATAATTTCCTAGCTTGCAGAGATTTTTCAGTTCTGAATACTAACGTTTATGTACACAGAAAAAAATCGCCATAGCAAGTGAACTATTTGTTTCATATAAGGGATTTAAATCTGACAATTTTGTAGCGACATCTGGAGTGCCCCAAGGATCAGATTTAGGGTCACCCCCCTTATTTTATTTATTAATGATTTTTCTCTGTCTGTATAATCTAGTCATCTATTTTTGCCGACGACTTGAAGCTATTTCCGAACGTATCTAATTTGGTAGATTGTTTAATACTGCAACAGCTGCTGATCATGGTGTGAGAATTAATATAGACAAGTATAAGGACTGCTCATTTACTCCAGAAGAGAACCTGAATATTTAACTATACTCTTGAAAATGCGTTACTGGCGCGTTGTGAGAATGTTAAGAATTTAGGTGTGATATATGACAATAAACTGTCCTTCACTGAGCATATCAATGCGATTATAAATACGTCCCCTAGAACCTTGAGTTTTTTTAGTCAGAAATAGAAGATCTTTTAGTGTTTGACATTGTTTGTTGAAGAACAATTTTTGTCGAATTTAGTGAATTAATTTAATAGTTTCATAATAAAGTGGAAATAGTAGAAACCAACCAAAAGAAAAATAGTTGTTGTCAGTGACATTTCTTCTGTATCTAAAGAAGTTTGCGATTCAAACTATGCCAATTTTGTACCAAATAATCTCTGAAAATATTATTTGACAAATTATTAGTAAGAGAACATTATAATTACACTTGGTTTTTAAGGTGTCGGTTTCATTAATGTATGGTGGATACTTTTTACATTGAAAATCATAAAAAACCAGAGGACCTCGATTGATATTCATATTTTATTCATTGTCATTACAGGTAGCTTATAACCAAAATAATAATTATTTCAAGTACAATATGTTGTTTTTTCTATACAGTCATTAAATTAATGACATCCAAATATATATTTTCAACTCACTGAAACAGGTTTGCAATATTATTGATAACACCATTGCCACAGTCTGTTAATTATTTTAGATTTGGTCAAAATACATTTAAAGTAGTATAATTAATTAGAATAGTGATAGTGATAGTGATATTATACCATGACATTTTCGCTTTTTAGAAAATTATTTAGAGAATTGTAGAATTTTCTATATTTTGGTGGAGTCGCTAGTGTTTATTTCTGATTAATGGTTATTTATTGTATAAGTGTTTTAAGTATCATTTTATTCACGCAAGAATGTTTAAACGCGAGAATGTACTTCGAGCGTTTAATATTCTTAAGTGGATAAAAGGCAATTAAAACACGAATGCAAACCAACGTTTTATCCATAATCACATCACATTCATATTTATGGAGTCAGAATTATTGGAATTTAATAAACAAATATTCGCACGACTTGATATTTCTTACTTGTACTCAATGAAACGTGGTAGGTTTTGTTATACCTACTTGTTATGGTACGTTGTTTATTAATTATTTAATAAACAGTTCTATCTGAATTTGGTAAAAATGTAAATGTTCCTGTGGCTGTTTTTGAAGAAGCTCAAGAAGCAATTTTCCATTTATTGCCAGCGAAATCGAGGGAACATTATGAAAAAGTATTTGCCGAATTTAACGAAAGGAAAAAATGGAGAGTAATGACAATAAATGAAGATGTCATGATATAGTATTTTTTAAATTTGAAGAAAAAATATGCAATTTCATCTATGTGATCGAAGGATTCGATGTTGAAGGCTACTATAAAGTCTACAAAAATATAGATATTGGAAAATATACTAAGCTTACTGCTTATTTGAAGAATGATTCGAGAGGATGCAAAGCATAGACCTAGTGAACTAATAAGGTCTATGATACAAAGCAAAAAAGCTGCAGTATTGGACTGAATGGGGCTTCAGATAAAGAATATTTAATGATAAAGGTAATATCTCTTTATCTTTTACATGTTGTTAGGTATATAGTGAACTATGAGTTATTTTAGGTTGCACTAATAATGGGGGTTTCTGGTGCCTGTCGATGCTGCGAATTGACAAATTTGAAAATTAGTGGCAGTTACCTACTTGTTTCAATACAACAACAATGCTACAAGGGTTGTTATTAACGGAAAGGAAGTTAAATGTGATAAAAGAAAAAACGAAATGTCTAGTACTATAAATGTAAATGTTAATGTTAATAAGTAAATAAATTAAATTTGATTTATTATAGGTTTATTACTTTTTTCATTATTCTACTAGTGAAATAAACTTACTTTATTCCAATAGTGGATAAAGTATCACTTTACACGGTTCATATGTGTGGATAAAAGTCCAGTTATAAGGTGATCGTGGATAAAATATGTTTATTTATTAAACAAAGTATGTTCAGACTTACTGAAAAAATTCGTAGACTGGTCTATTTCCAAAATGTAAAATATGATAGTTTCTTATACAAATTATTTAAAACTTGTTGAAACATTTTAAATTTTTATAAAATATTATATTACGTTCAAAATACCTGAAATCCGAAAAAACTAATGGTGCCTGACCATCAGCAGTTGCATTAAAACTGTTTATATTTACACAACTTGCTAATATATATCCCTAATATAGAACAACGAATAAAAGGTCAATTGTTTGATGTTACTCAATATATAACAGCAGGTTTAGACCCACAATTGCTTCATACAAGTTAGATTTAATGATTACCATTAATGATTTAATTCATCTTAAAAGAACTGACGTATATGTACAACAGCAATTGTTTCAACACACCAGAACAGATAAGGTGACATGGATTTTATGGACAAAGCAGATTTTCCATAGTTCACTAACAGATTTTTGAAATCTGTATAAGGTTTTTAAGAAACATACCATTTATTATTAGCCTCTTTTGCCTAACTAAATTTATGGTTCCGAAAAATATTGTTTAATTCCATTTGATAAGACTTTTTTTAGAGAAAATTTGTTGGATTTATTTGAATTGGCCCAATGGCGTAAAAAATCTGTCGATCATTACAATTTTTGCACTTAGAATACAATATTTGTTGCTTCTCTTCTAATTGGTCATTATTTTTGGAATCAAATAATACACAAATACATCAGCTCTGAAGAAACTACTTTGATTACTTTGATTTTCGATGTCAAATTATCAGTTTGATACTGTCTAAAATTGATTGCCACGTTTTACATATTATATTGACTGTTTCATCAGCATTTAAAGATTTACTTGGATTTAGAATGACGACTGGAACCAACGGTATTGGTCAAGTTCCTTGAATGACACTTTGCTTCAAGGATTTTTTTATTGGATTATCTTAAAAAATTCGAAGATTTTTAAAACATTCTTGAGGTTTTTTAAAACCTGGAAATGGTTTCATCAAACAACTTACCTTATCACAAATCTTCCTTGGCAATCACTTAACAATGCAACCATCTAATTGTAAGTCTACCATCACCACACACCTGTCCAGATCGCAGTCATCAGAAGAACTAACAAAACACTATCACAGTCAAATGTAAATGCGATCACTAGATACCTTCCTGGGTCCTGATACTTCGCAACTGTGCAACAACTGAATCCAGAGCCACACTTCACGTGTGACAATGTGCCACCTGACTGAATTCTACCTTTACAGTTTTCCAGGTATAAGTTTCATTCCGCTACCCCACCAGGTAAGTAGGCTCTGGTGAAATAAACGAAGCACGTGCCTCCGCTAAACACCTCCTTTGCTGGCGCTCCGTGGCATCCTGGATTGGACGCTGGCCCGATGAGGTGGAGCCTCGGATAGTGATTGGATCGGATTGGATGGTCGCCCCGGTCCTGTTCCTCAGGTATCCTGATGAGTTATTTAATTGCAAATTGATTTTTTAACTGGATTTTTTAGGTGCGAGGGCAATATTGATTCGTTTAATGATGTTATCAAGGTGTAATTGTCTAATGGCGGGCTTTCCAGGCCGATTGTTTGTTTGGAATTCTCGTTTTTTTTTGGGGGGTTTGCGTAAGTGGTTGGTTTCGGTGGCTATTAGCGATGGGTGACGTGATTTTCCTTGGGAATGACGCCTATTGAAACCGCAATAGTTGCGAGTCCTGCCAATTATTTTATGTAGAGGAATGCGTTGACGGTATTTTTGGTGGTTGGCCTTGTATTGACCTTTTTTTTGGAACCAGCAAAGAGCCGTAGAATAAATTTATGATATGAGTAACCACGTGTTTCCATTAATGGCATGATACAGCACAAATCTTACAAAAACAACACAATATGCTAAATATTTACTTACGCATTTAGGTTAACATATTGTCTATTATATTAAGAACTGAAAGTTTGCTTATGGTTTTTAATTAAACTGTGTATAGTATTAATCGCATTTTTAAAATGTTTTATCCGTTTATATTTTTCTAAACACAATAATTTTATTCTTATGAACTTACACTGTAAAACAATTTCACTCAAATTTCACTTAATTTCACTCAATAATGTATCAATTTCTGTCCACATTCGATTGAGTGAAATTTTCACTATATTAATATGAGTAGGTACAAGTGAGTGGAACTATTGCATCAGAAATGAGTGAGTTTTACTCAAATCCGAGTTACTGCTAACTATCAATTGACCGATTTTTGACTCTATTCTGAGTATATAAAACCAATTTAGAGTTGCCTTTTTCTCTAATATGAATATGATTTAAATTTAACTATTTATTATTGAGTCATTTTTTACTCAGACTTTTAATTAACTAAATATTGAGTGCAAAATTAAATCACAAATGATTAATTAGGATACACAGTGCTGAAATTAATTCACCTCGCGGGGCTTCCTCGTGTCCTGGCTGAGACCCACCAGCTGACACCCGCCGCCTCCGGCTAAGGCCTGTACTCCTAGCGATCACGCTTTTCTGGAGCATCTAACGGATCCATATCTACTGTGAACGAGATTACAGAAGCGATATGTAAGTGGTGCCATCATCACAGCGCCATTCAAATTATTCGATATTAATATACATTTAAACTCACTCACAATCAGTAATGAGGACATTTACTCTGATTTAGGTACAAGGGCACCAAATACGAGTTTACGTGAAGAATTTATTTAAGTAGTAGCTATATTTGAATGAAAGTACTCAGTTTTAATTTAAATATAATGGTTCAGTGGTTCAGCCACATATTTTTATAAAACATTAATCAATTAATTTATATGACTAAAAAATTGCAAGTAAAATATAATAAATAAAACGCTTAGTCGAAATAAATATCAGTAAAGAATTGGTAATGTCTTATACATATCTTTGTGTTTTTTACTAAATTCGACAAAATTAAGTGATTTATATTAAAAAAAATACCTACTATTAAGCTTAAATACAAATATTTTAAAATACACTAAACTTTCCTGTACTGAAAGTAAACTTTTAGTGTAAATTTAAATTTTGATAAAACTTTTTGGCGAATAGTGCAATACAACATTTTTCTTTCACCTACTATTATGAAATAGGTGCCAGAAAAAACTGAAATAATAATAGTTTTTCGAGATCGAGGAAAAATATATTAAAAAATTATTCATTTGTGTTGATTTATTATTTTGCAACGCATTTATTATTCTAGTGAATTAACAGGAGTTTTTTCACTAAAATCGTAAATTATTCAAGTCCCTTTGTCTGCTTAATAATATTAAATAACTGTCAGCATAATATTAAAACTGTAAAATATTTTTTATTATAGAAATATAGCGTACAAAATGATATACAAAAATATATTTAAACTAAAATCTTTATAAACAAATATGTTGACTTAGCTAATACCAGCGGCAAACAAATATATGAAATTTGGTGAATAAAATGTGATAAGAGTTCGCTAAATTGAACTGGACTTGGTACCTACGATATATATTTCAAGTAGTTTAATAAAAATTCAAGACTCTACGAAGACTAAACCCGAAACGATTTATTTTATTTAGTACTAACTTAAGTTGTTAAAAATAGTTAATTTAGTGGCTGAATGACTTCACATTTAAAAAAATTAATGGACAATTTACTTACATTAAGCAAAATACGACTAATTATACTGAAAAACTGGAATGAACACAAATCAATGTGCCGCTTGTCGGTATCTTGATGCACACACATGAAAAATGACATCTAGTACGGCCGATTGGCGTATCACTTATAGAAAAAATTCAGATTTTATTCGTAAATATTCATTACTTTATAAAAATGTAATTAGAATAAACATACCTGAATAATATCTACTTTATGTCTCTATATTTTCATATTAGCTATTATTAAATAAATCGAAAATTTTCCAAGGAAAGATGTTCTTCCAGTCCATTACATAAAAAATTTACTAAATATGGAAATTTTGTTTAGAGTTTAGAACCTGACGATTACTGGGGCTTATTCCCTACATTTTTATTTATTTATATTCCATTTTTACACTGTAAAAAATTCGGTGAAAGCAATAAAAGTTCGGAGTGAATGAATTGTGTGAAATTATTGAGTACATTTTCACTCATTTTATTCGTTTGTGATTATATTTAAATTAAAAGTGAGTACTTTCACTCAAATATAAGGTACTCCTTAAATAAATTCTTCACATAAACTCGTATTTGGTGCACTTGTACCTAAATCAGAGTAAATGTCCTCATTACTGAACGAGTTTAAATTTATATTAATTTTGATTAATTTGAATGGCGCCGTGAAGATGGCACCACTTACATATTGCTTCTGTAATCTCGACCACAGTTGATAAGGGCCCGTTAGATGATCCAGAAAAGCGCGATCGCCAGGATAAAAGGCCGGCGGGTCTCAACTGGCGGGTCTCAGCCAGGACAGGAGGAGGCCCCGCGAAGTGGATTAATTTCAACATTGTATTTCCCAATTAATCATTTATGATTGATTTATTTTTGCACCCAATATTTAGTTAATTAAAAACCAAGTCTGAGTAAAAAATGATTCAATAATAGTTAAATTTAAATCATATTAGAGAAAAAGTCAACTCTAAATTGGTTTTATATACTCAGAATAGAGTCAAAAGTCGCTCAATTGATAGTTCGCAGTAACTCGGATTTGAGTAAAACTCATTCGTTTCTGATGCAATAGTTTCACTCAGTTGTGCTCACACTAATAGAGTGAAAATTTCACTCAATAGGGTGTATATTGAGTAAAATTGAGTGAAATTTGAGTGAAATTTTTTTACGGTGTAAAGAAAAATGATACAGTTGTCAACACAATACTATGATGTAGACATTGTTAATAGCATGGCGCTCCGAGAGTGCCTAAAATAATCGCAGTGGCAACGAAAAAAAAAACTGTCAAATGAATCAATCAAAAACCAACCGTGTAAAAGTCAGATTTTATTATTACTCCATTTTTACACTCTTCGTCGCGCCAAGAGCCTCCGTCTTGGTGGACCCCCACAAAGTAAAAGACAGAGTTAGTGCTGGAAAGATTTTTCATTAACCCATATTTACGTGTATTTATCAGCCAAATTCTTCAAGCAAAGTGTGTCGACGTATGCTGCCGTCGTGAGCCTGCCGAGAGGTGAGTGTCTGTGTGATTTTTTCTACGAACCAGCCAGAGCCAGGACCGAGTTTTCTGTTTTTTTCTGTTTTTACTATTACCCCAGTTATTACAACACGTAATTTAAGTTGCCCTACAGTTGCAACCAAACATTCTTTCTTGAATAAACGCTGAGCTAGCAAAGAAAAGTAAAGTACATGTATGAACGGACGGTATGGGAGAAATTATCCAGGTTCCGCGAACGCAGGTGGCGCCCGACAATCTGTTATAAAAACAATCCAAATTCAAAATTAAGTCCAAATTATCTAAATTGTTATCACTACTTTCTCTCTTTGGCCGGTCTAGTCATATATATATTTTTACTTTCCACGGGAAAAAGAAACTAACAACATCACATTAAAATGGAGTCATCTGTGTCATATCAAAGCTGGAGAATCCTTTGGTATGAAATTTAAAGAGAATATGAACCAAGTATGACTAAAAAATTACTCAATGATAGTTACATTTAGAGAAAAAGTCAACTCTTAATAATTGGTTAACGTACTCAGAATAAAGTCAAAAGTCACTCACTTGATCACTCACTTGACTTGAGCAGAAACCTGGATTTAAGTAAAATTCACTCACTTCTGTTGCAATAGTTTCACTCATAAAGTTTTAGTTGTACTCATACTAATAGAGTGAATATTTCACTCAAACGGGTGTGGACAGAAATTGATACATTATTGAGAAAAATTGAGTGAAACTGAGTGAATGTTTTTTACACAACATCCAAAGATGAAAAAAAAATATGCCTGTAAGGATTAAATGTTGTTTGTTGTAATTCAATAGTAATTGAGAGTGTCTTGAGAAGTAATGGACGAATATGCGAGCTTCTGAAGACAGTCCTTTAACGGTGTCAGTACTATTGACCTTCGTCAGCAGTTTTGAAAAAAAA